AACAATTTCCCATTTTAGCAGTTGACGTCAACTTTCTGCTTCTCATTGTTTTTTTCTTTTTCTCCCTTTCTCACAGGCATCTACACATCTATCTCATGTCTAGTGCTTGCTTTGGAAGCACATATCCTATCTCATGTCTAAGAATGCTGTGTTCTACTAGCTATCACCACAGATCCCTAAAGGTCAAGAAAACTTGATGGCAAGTCTGGTAATTACATCTTCCTTGCCTCTAATAATTGAATGCTATTCCCTGGCCTGATTCTCACTCTTATTGAAGAACCCAGTTCAATAGCAACAACCGACACTACCAACCATAGCCTGCAGAGTGCAACCACCACCATCCATGCTTCTTACAGATACTGGTGTCCACTCAGCAGTGCATTCCTTATGGAGTGTCTTCTGGGTCCACCCAGGGATCTTACTCAGGTTATGGATGCTCAGGTCTTAAACGGCTTATCTATTCTAATACTCTCAACTGCCTGAGTCTTCTGACCTCTTTTGCAATACCATATAGAGAGTGCCAGATGTTTCATCATATGTGCTCTAGTCAATTTTTAATGCTATTAAAGAGAAGCCAGCCCACACAATCATTATTATTGTTGATCCTGTATTTTAAAACAGCATAACCATCACACATTCCAGTGTCTTTCCTTTCATCTGCACTTTATTCCAAAGCAAAACTGGTGGGAGCCTTAGTTAACATGGTGCTATCGCCAATCAGAAATTTTCAGTCGCCTATCACTACTAGAACTGGAATTCTCGTTGTTCTCGGATAAGAAAGTAATTCAGTTCTAAAATCCCATAATTGTAGTTTACTTTCTAAGAATTTTCTTATTACCAGTGGTCTTGCCTTGAGGTTTCCAGAAGACAAATCCTAAGTCTGAGACATTTATATAACTACCTTTTAGATAATGCATTCCCGGGATATAGGAGTGAGGAAATAGAGAGTGAGGGAAGGGGGAAAGCAGATACTGGCTACTGCTTAGTATGTAGTATGATTGCTTGCCCATCCATGTGGCACTGTCCTTCAAGAGGCTACAAAAATGAGAGAATATTAGGCCTTTTATTCAGCAAAGAAAAGGTAAAAAAATTTACTATTCTCTCTTGCCTCCCACTGACCAAAGTTATGCTCCATGGACAGTTAATTCCTTTGCACACATAACTTGTTCATGAAGGTGACCAAGAAGACTATTGCAGCTAAGACCTCAGCACCAACATAAAAGTCTGAGACAGGAGGCAAGAAGTACAAGGCATGGGCATGAGACAAGGTACCGCAGTTACTCCTACAAGAAGTTGGTTAGTGTCTATTCAAGAGAGCAGTTGGTTTGAAAAAGTGCCCAAATATCTGGAAGCAGACGAAAACAAAATATATGACATAGTACTTATATATGCAAACACTTTTAATTTTTTAATATCTGGAAGGAGCTCATGATTGAACTTATTTGTAGTCTGATGCACTTTGCCTGTTGATATCTAATTTATCCTTACTGTAATAACTGAATCCAGGTTAACTTATTGATTTGTGTAGTTGGTGCTATTTTACTGTCATACTGTGTTTAGTCATTTAAAATGCACACTACACTTTGTTTCCTATTTTATTCAGTAGTAATATTAAAAGAATGGAGCATTTAAAATTTTTTATTTGTTATTACTTTGTATTTTTTAATAAAGGTCTTATTATAAAACTCTTTTAGCTTCAAATTTAACAAAGGAATGAAACTTTTGACCCCTCTCTTACAGAAGACATGAAATTTAATGTGCTTCCACTGACCCATCCCTACATTTATAGATCTTTGTTAATTTAATATGTGGTATAGATTATAGGATAGAGGTATAGATTATTATGGTTTAACTAGTTTCCAATTGCATATCTTAGTTTTCAAGTGACATTTATTATATTGTGTCTTTTTAACATGTATAAATAAATTAATTGGATTCACTCATAACAATGCTCACCATAAGAATATTTATCCAAAACATCTATTCATTTATAAGAATACTCACCATAAGAACATTTCTATTTTCTACTTCTCAATTTTAACTTTGCCCCCTGCCCCTGATAAGTGTTTTGGCAAACTTTTCAGAGATTGTAGTGTTAGTGTCAGAATTTGTGAACACCTGAATATCAGAAAGTAAAAATAACTAAGTCTGCTCCCAGGCCTATCACCTTGCAGAAAGAGAAAAAAAGAAAACAAATAAGTTTTATGAACATGTCTCAATTATCTTTTAGTATTTTATGCTGCAAAGGTTTAATTTTAAAGTTTGCTTGGAATTTGTTTTAGGTTTCTTATAGTTTTTAATGGTTTCTAGGTAACCTAAATATTTTGGGGCCTGGGTTTTAATAAGACAGTTTCTTCATCCTTAACACCACATGAAGTTTATCAAGACATCTGTGTTGCTAAATATTTTGAAGTAGCCTGTGCTTCATTTTTAAAATAAATTATTCGGCTTGTTATAGTAAAATCATTTCAAGAGGTGTTTTAGAGTAATTCTCCCTTTCTTATATGGTAAAGAGTTTCTTTTATAAGTCAATTTGTTTGCATCTGTTTACTTTATCTAGGGTAGGTGGTGTTTGTGTCCTTGTGTTCTATGTGCTCATCCTCAACAATTGCTCAGTCCTATTTAATTGGGCTGATTTAGCCTAATAAAAGGGAACAGTGAGTCCTATAGCTGCCTCTCACTGCCCACTTGAGTGCTGAGACAAGCCTCCTTGTATTCTTAAAGAGAAAGGCAAATAAACATACTTAGTTTTCAAAATGATTCTTAGCTTTTAGCAAACTTGTAGCAAGCTGGAATGTTACCCTACTGCTTGGTTCTCTGTCTTCTAGGATGAGAATTTACTCCTGGATTATTGGGCTGTGTTTATTTATTTATTATTTCTTCTCTTGAAGCAGTATAAGGAAATGCCATTCTTCCCTGCTCACAAGCACTGTCCTCGTCTACACTTACTTACACCACATGGCAAGTTTCCATGCGCCATTCCCTACCCACCCAACCTCCCATTTTGCATGCATGCTCAATCACTAAATCCTGTCCGGCTTTTTACAACCCGGTGGACTGTAGCCTCCCAAGCTCCTCTGTCCATGGGATTTGCCAGGCAAGAATACTGGAGAGGATTACCATTTCCTCTTCCAGGAGATCATCCCAGATGATCTTCCAACCATCTTCCAACTTCCAACCCAGAAATTGAAACTCAATCTCCTGAGTCTCCGACATTGGCAAATGGATTCTTTACCACTGAGTCACCTGAGAAGCCCAGCCTCTTTTTTTTACCTCAGCTTTATTGGAGTATAATTTAAAAACAAATATTGTATGTATTTAAGTTATACAAATACACTGATGCTTTGATATCATATACATTGTAAAATAATCAGAACCATCAAGCTAATTAACATATCTAGCCTCTCATATTGTCACCCTGCTTATTTAACTTATATGCAGAGTACATCATGTGAAATGCCAAGTTGGATGAATCACAAGCTGGAATCAAAATTGCCAGGAGAAATGTCAACAACCTCAGATATGCAGATGATACCACTCTAATGGTAGGAAGTGGAGAGGAACTAAACAGTCTCTTGACAAGGGTGAAAATAGCAGAGTGACTTAAAACTTAACATTAAAAAAACTAAGACCATGGCAACCAGTCCCATCACTTCATGGAAAACAGATGAGTAAAAGTGGAAACAGTGACAGATTTTATTTTCTTGGGCTCCAAATCACTGTGGACAGTGACTGCAGCCATGTAAAGATGCTTGCTCCTTGGAAGGAAAGCTATGACAAACCTAGACAGATTATTCAAAATCAGAAGCATCACTTTGCAACAAAGGTCCATATAGTCAAAGCTATGGATTTTTCTGTAATCATGTACAGATGTGAGAGTTGGACCATAAAGAAGTCTGAATGGCAAAGAATTGATGCTTTTGAATCATGGTGCTAGAGAAGACTCTTGAGAGTCCCTTCCACTGTAAGCAGATCAAACGAGTCAATCCCAAAGGAAATCAACACTGAATATTCACTGGAAGGACTAATGCTGAAGCTGAAGCTCTAATAATTTGATCACTGAACAGCAGACTTATTGGAAAAGGCTATGATGCTAGGAAAGATTGAAGGCAAAAGGAGAAGGGTGTGACATACGATGAGATGGTTAGATGGCATCCTCAACTCAATGGAATGAGTTTGAGCAAACTCCAGGAGATAGTAAAGGTCAAAGATTCCTGGGATGTTGAAGTCCATGGGGTCACAAAGAATCAGGCACAACTTTTCAACTGAACAACAAGAAAAAAATCCTCTTATATACTTACTATGTTTTTAATTAAAATTCTGTGTGTGTGTGTGTGTGTGTGTGTGATGAGATCATTTATGAAATATACTTCTAGAAAATTCCACCCAGGTTCCTTCCTCCTTCCTCTCTGCCCACCAACTTTCTCAATATAACCCCACTCCAGTCCCATTTAATTCATATTGTTTTACTGGGAACTCCAGATTGGTGAATGCCTGGAGGTGCAGGTAGAATGGTACGCTCAGAGAGGGGATGGATGCTCTGTACGCTTTCCCCATCTCTTGCCTCAAGCATCTTTTTCACCTAGTAAGTTAATACTGAGTGTCGTGGATTGCTCTTGCAAATTAATAATATCCAAGGAATTTACAATTTATAGCCACTTGGTAGAAGTACAGGTGATGATCTGTCTGCCCCCCCAACACACACCCACACAATCATACTCACATTGAGAAAGTAACAGGATTCATTGGCTTTATTCACAAAATTATTTGAATGGTCAAATGTATTTAATAGTTTGATAACTAAAACATTGTGAAAGATCAATTTCAAAATCACATTGAATTTTTAAAAAACCTATTTTTTTCCTGAGATTTACTTGTATAATGTATCTTTGGGTCCCTCAGATTAATCCTTTAAAATGGACATTATTACTAATTTTAATGGATATTATCTGAATTGTGAAGTATTCTGTTGCATGAAAAAAGAAGCCCATTTCTGTAGCTTAACTTTGTAATAGCATTTTATTTTTCCTTACATATCAACAAGTATTAGTGAAGGGAATTTGGGCCCTTTCTATCATTTTTTTCCATCATCCACACAGGGAAGTTCTTCATGCTTGTCCAAACATGGAGGTAAGGTGGCTGCTCCCTCTTCAGCTGTGCTGTAGTCTAGAGAGAAAGGGACAAAAAGAATGTCTGTATTATAAAAACAAAAATATTCCCGGAAGTTTCTAGCAGAAAGATATTTATACCTCATCACCTACACTTTTGTTACATTGCCACCCTTGGATGCAATAGATTCTGAAAAGGTGAATATTTCATCTGGGAACATTGCCAATCTGAACAAAAGTAAGGAGAAAGTGAGGATAGCTCTTAAGTGGGAAACTAACATTGTCTAAAAGTCATTGAATTCAGAATGTTGTATAATCACAACAGTATTTTTAAGCAGCATAAATTTTTAGAGTAATACTAAACTTCAATAACGATTCACTTTTGCTATATTTGATGGTTTTAATGAAATAATATAATGTTTTATGTACTTTACTGTCTACATTACACTAATAAGAATAAGGTCATTATAGGCCATTAATAGTTTTTGCTGGAATATTCTTTTTTTATATACCTTACTTAAATGGTGGCTTCAGGGTCCATGTTATAAACAGTATCAAACTCCTATGAACAATATCTAAAATCTAAATAATAACATCTAAATCCAAATCCAAATGATTTTTCTGAGTTAATTACCAATATGTTTCATATAACAATTTTAGTGCCCACATACTGACAGCAGAATATGAAGTCCTAAATGGATTCTTTAAGCTAAATGCTGAACATTTAAACTGTTTGTATTTTATCTTTTTTTGGCTTTAATATCTAAAATTCAATATTTGATAATTATGATTTTAAAGTATTAAAATTGTTACCTCTTAAGGAACATTTTTCTACACTTATAAAAATATTTCTTAATTATAGCCTATCTCCCACTAAAATGTAAATCTTACATTTGCTGCATTCTTCTTTAGTATCTTTAATGTTGATAATCAAGATGTACAGACTTTTCAGCAGCATTTAGGCAGTGGCTGGAGGAGAAGACAGTCAAGATAGGATATCTGTCCTAATATTCTGTCTAAGTGATACTCAGAACTGAACATAGGACATTTTTCTAAATGCAAATCTAATACTAATTCATATCTAATGTAATACATATTACAGATTTACATCTCATTTCAAGTCCTCTGTGAATTTGATTAGAATGTATTCTGTCTCATCTTACACATTTTATTGAATATATCTTTTCAAATCTAATCTTGATCCTGTTAATTTGGGATGACTTGTGTTTTATAAACAGTTACACCCAAGTATGATATAGGGTGTCAGATATATCACATGACATGTTGAGGTTCAAATAAAATACCATTTTCTCCAAGTATAAAGGAAAACATGTAAAATCTTGCATATGAAGACTTTATACATATTTGCTTATAGTTAAAGCTATAAAGCATACAGGAAGAAAGAATATATAAAAATACAATTAAGAGAATATCCAAACAAGAATTTTTAAATTATGAGATAATTAAGTAATTTTGTTTTCTCTCAAAATGTTCCTGGAAGTATGCTCTATAATGTAAACCTTCTCCCTCCCCTGGATAAAATTTTGGTTGGTTCCCCACAGCTCTCTTAACTAAAAAAAAAATAAAAATCCACCTGATACTTTAATCATTTTCAGCTTAGAGATTGGTAAATACAGCTAGAGTAATAATAAAGATTCCAAACTTCATTCAAAATTAAAGCTTCTGCACTCACCTAATCAGCCATGCAACAGAAGGCAGCCCTGTAGTATACAGTATGACTTGGGTAGATACTCCTCTATTTTCCCAACTTGTCTTCTTCCCCTTCTCAAATGCTAATTAGCACTGTTTCTGACCAAACCGGATTTTTAGATGGTGGAGAGAGGAGATGTGAGTGCTTAGGAAAACTCCTGTATGCTTGTACTTTGGTGAGCGGTCATCATGGATTGCTCTCTGGTTTGGCAGGTGTCAGAGCTGACTCTTGGTCTTTCTCCCTTTCAGGGTGTTTCATTTCCTTGTAGGGTTCTTCAGACCATTTATTCCTCTCTCTGTTCAAGAAGGCATCTCTCAACTGCACTTCACTGTGATTTACGTATCAGCAGGCCATCTTTTCACAGACTCTCTCTGTTGGGATCCTATGGTCTTTGGCATCCTTTTTTGGATAAAATCCATTTACGATGACTCTGGGCCAGCTTTTAGCCACATATGTTTGGTTCAAACCTTCTCTATGTCCTTTGTTAATTATCAATTATATTTTAAGTTATTTTTCAAAATCAAGCTCTCTGTGATAGTGTCATGATTGATATTTTTGAGATGTATACAGGTATGTTTTAATTAACAGCACTGAAATTAGGTTCAAAGCATAACAGAGTCACAGTTATTTTTGCAATCAGGAATACAGAATATTAAAAAAAAGATTATGTGTGGTGAACTCAGTGATTATTAAAAACATTGAGGGTGGCTAAGATAAGCAAATATCCTTCTTTTATAGACAAAAAAGGAATCAGTTTAATAAAACTGTTATTGGCCAGGTGCAGTGTGATTTATGTGATGTACTTCATGTGAAGGTTTATGTGATGCATGGGGTCGAAAGTAAACATATGTGGGTTTGAGTCTTATTTCTATAATGCATTTAATTACAAGTTACAAGAAGCTGATCAAGGTTAATAAAGCAGGTAGTCTAAGTTTCTTCCTAGCAAGAGAGACACAGATGTATTGAATAGTCTTTTGGACTCTGTGCGAGAGGGCAAGGGTGGGATGATATGGGAGAATGGCATTGAAACATGTAACTATCATATGTGAAACGAAGCACCAGTCCAGGTTTGATGCATGATACAGGATGCTCGGGGCTGGTGCACTGGGATGACCCAGAAGGATGGGATGGGGAGGGAGTTGAGAGGGGGGTTCAGGATGGGGAACACATATACCCATGGCGGATTCAAGTCAATGTATGGCAAAACCAATACAATGTTGTAAAGTAAAATAAATAAATAATTTAAATAAAAACAATAACAAAAAAAAACATTAAATAAAATTAAATTAAATTTAAAAAAAGTTACAAGAAGCTGATCAAGGTTAATAAAGCAGGTAGTCTAAGTTTCTTCCTCTATAAAATGGGTATAATAATAGCTCTAGCAATTATATTGTTTGGTAAACATATGGTATATACCACACAGTAACTTCTTAACAATTGTTAGTTAATTCTGTCTTCTAACATTGTTGATTTTTTAAAAAAATTACAGCTGTAGTTTCTTCAGGTATTTATTTTATCTTTTATGATTTCTGAAGTCAAAAATAACATGTGCATTATATGAACATATACACATATATGTACACATATTTTTACAATTTTTCTGGTCATTAGTAAATTACTATAATGCAATAGTTAGCAAGTGTTTATTAAAATGAGAATCTTTGGCTTATTATACTATACAAAACACACTTTAAACTATCAGATTATACTTAATTTTTCTAGAAAAGCAAACAAATAAGTAATGGTAAGCTGTTACCTTTAACAATTAAATCTTTGAAATCAGTAAGTAAGTAGAGAAGTCTGGTTTTCACTGTAATAGGAGAAACAGACTAATAAAGAAAAGTCTTCCATGATAGGCTGGGAGAAAACTCTATAAGAATCTGGATACATAGTCCATGATTTTATAATGTAAATTGTGATTATTTAGATGCTTATAACTTCTCATCATCTTCTTTAACAAGTTATTCATGTTGGTAGCCAAATAATCATCAAGCTGTTGCTACGTGGGATGGTTATTACTGCATCTATAGCTACTGTAGTTATCCAAAGAGAGGACACTAGTATTGTTTCCATACAGACAGTGTCACTACTTCCTTGTTTGTTTATACCCCTCATAAATATACATTCATTATAAGATTCTGAATGCAATGAATGCTCAATATCTTTTCTCCATGTGGTTAAAACATGTTGGGAAGTATTAGGACAAGTTTGGTCCCTGATATTATTTTTCTATTCCAACAGAGATCCAGAACAACACTGCAAGAGTATACCATATAAAATCTAGATCACAGTTCTAGATGTTTGCCACCAACAACTAAGATTCTAAGATGTGCTGTGTTTCACTATTAATGAAATCCATTTGGGTGTACTTTGTTCAAGATCATATTACTACTTTCTAAGCCCATTCCCTTGGATTGCAAAGAGATCAATCCTAAAGGAAATTAATACTGAATATTCATTGAAGGGACTGATGCTGAGGCTGAAGCTCCACTACTTTGGCCACCTGAAGCTCTAATACTTTGGCTCAATAGAAAAGACCCCAATGCTTGGAAATAAGCAGGATGAGAAGGGGACAATAGAGTACGAGATGGTTGGATGGCATCACTGACTCAATGGACATGAGTTTGAACAAACTCCGGGAGATGGTGAAGGAAAGGGAAGCCTGGTATGCTGCAGTCCATGGACCCACAAAGAGTTGAACATGATTGAGCGACTGAACAACAATGAAGCCCATTCTACATAGATTACAAATATCTTCCCTTCAAAAATGTTACTATTTTGTTCATAATAAGATGATAATTTATCTTTTCTAGTATGTTTAACATCTTTCACATAAATATATTTGAAATATTTCTATATACAATTCCTAGGTCTCTCTACTGAAAGAGCTTAGAAGAAATGCTCTACCAGTAGCAATAAATAAGACAAATCTCATATCTTGGTTTCTAAATATCATTCTCCACTAAAAACATACCAGAGTTAATTGTGGGGAAAGGCAGATTCCTGAGCTGGGGAAGAAGACGATAAATTTGGAACACTTTGTTATATTAGGAAACAGGGAAACTTTCAAATTATCTGGGGGACAAAAGGATTAGGGCTCCATCTTAAAGGAAATCCAACAGGTCATATCTGAAAGTATTTGAGCTATTAGTCTTCTAATCCATTAAATAAGAATCTAAGAGCTTATATTGACACAAACTTTAAAAACAAATACATAAAGGCACTGATATTAAAGGCTAGACTTCTCTTCATTAGCTTAGTTCATTCAGTAAATGTGTATCAGGCGACTGTACCACAACTTCAAGAAGAACCTGCAGGTGAAAAATCTCTCCATGACTATGGATAAAGCACAGAACAAATGCCAAATACTTAGACACTATTTCCTTAAGATAATGGGCAAGTACCAATATATTGGAAACTTTTTGGGAAAAAAAATTCCAAATATGTACTTCCAATTCTGCATGATTATTTTAATGCCATTTCTCTGTCATCTCTCAAAGTAGGATGCCCCTAAAGTATGTCATCTCTTAAAGTAGTTGTTCCCTGACAAAGGTCTGTATCCTCCTTCCATCTCTTATTACATCTCTTATAATTTCCCCATAGCAGCGCCTCATCCAGCTATTCCACTTCTATCAGCATCTTAGGAATTGAAAAAGTCTTCACTTTACAAATTAAGAACAGTTAGTTCTTGTAAAGAAAATGTGATGAGTGTCTCAAACATAACTCTATCACCCTAACTTCAAAAGAGGAACAGACTACATAAAATATACTATTAAATCATGATTTTCATCAAGGAGTACCTGGTTCTTAATGCTAACATATTTAAAAGGCTGAAAATCTACTAAAGTATGCTAAACAGAAAAATAAAAAATTACTCAATCTTTTCACAACATTTCCATGAGCATAGTTTGCATTAAATATGAAAGTTAACATTTAACATTCTACTGTTCTGAAATGACATAATGATAAATATTCTAGTGGTTATATAATATGGCTATAGTGTACACTAGTTTATGGTTATTAACTAAAATAAATATGTAATAGAAACTGTTCTGAAGGTAAATGTTACATTAGTTAAATCACAACAACAAAAAGATATTCCATTCATTCACTCACTGAATGATGACTTGTTGAGTATCTACTATATACTACTAGTACTATGTACTATGTAGTACTACTACTACGATGGATCATAGGTCCCAAGGAATGAAAAATGTCTCTATCATAAAGAAATTTACTAGTGATAAAAGGAGACACATATATTAGTTAATTGCAGAGCAGTGACTCAAGTGCAAAGTTAATAGTAGCACGAAAACTGAGCAACTCTTTGCATAGTGGGCAGGAGAGTTAGAGGCTTCCTCAAAGAGGGAATGCTTGTAGTAACTTTTAAGAGATGAGTTACCAGTTTATTAGGTAATAACAAATGAATGAGAAACTATTAAAAGAAACAGCTATTAAAGTCACAAAGGGATAGACTAGCCTGGAATATGGTGAGAAGAGGTGAGGGAAGAATTAAATCCAAAGCAATATCCAACTTGTGAAAGACCTTAGAGACTAACCTAAGTGGTAGCATAATGGAATGTATAAAATAATGACAGCAGAAACTACTTAGTCTCTGACCTGTCCAGTCCTTTGCCAAATCAGTACCTAGGTACCCTTTTACCCTGTCTGAAAAATCCTTCTCCCAGATTTTTACACAACTATATGTTCATTCAACTCTTGGCTTAAAAATCACCTGTCAATACCAAAAACTGAACAGAATTAGGGCCATCCTACCATAACCACTTATTAGTCTTCTTTTTCCACTGTTTTTAAATCAATAGAGAATAGAAACACAGATTAAATATAAAGTTAATAACTTTATGTAACATACTCATATCCCCTTCATTTCTCTTTATTCTTGTAAATTAGACTGAGAAAATTGTAGAAATTGCTAAGCAACGTTTGGTGTAGTACAGACTCTAGGGATTTGTGAGTTAGCAATCTTCCCTTTATTCTGTAGTGAGTATATTTTGTTCACTAGTAGCCATATGAGTATGACTAAAGCAGAAGAAACCTTGTCAGAGATATATGCATTTTATTATCTCAAAAGGATAAATCAGTAATGCAAGATTATCAGGCAAAATGACAAAAACAGTGAAACATTTTGGAAAAAGCAGAAAAGATGTTTCTAGCCCTTTATATCATACCTCATATGCAAATGTCCTATCCTCGAGGAGACCTACTTCAGTCTCCAGAGAAAATGGTTAGGAAGTAAATCTCCATTAGTACTGGGAAAACTTTGATATTATAAATTTAGCATCCTCCTCAATTGGGAACTTTAGGGAATGTTTATACATAAACTGACATCCTTTAAAGTAGTTTGGGGGCTTAAACAGAAAAAATATAGTATGTTTGTTCTTGTGGTCTGTAAAATATTTAAATTAATCCTTGAACTACTACAGACCCATAATCAAACAGACCAAGTGCACAGGACCCCTTACTTCTTCAACTGTGATTTAGAAAAACTCCAAAACACCTACTGCTACTAAATGAAAGCAATAGTTCCTTTATCTCCATATAGTGGAAAATAGAAAATTTTAAATATAGCCAAAAGTAGAAAGCATAACTACAATGCATTAAAAATGTTCTCAAAATTTTGTAATTTTATTAAAGTGGCAGTCACTATGCTATAAGATTGTAAAACACGCAAATTATTTAAGACTCAAAACTAGATGGTGGAGTAGGACATGCACTCATCTTCTGCGAAAAAACCAACATCGCAATTAGCTGCTGAACAACCAACAGGAGAATATTGGATCCCACCAAAGAAAGATACCCCACATTGAAGGGCTAAGGAGAAGCCCCAACAAGATGGTAGGAGGGGTGCAATCCTGTTTAAAATCAAATCTCATACCCACCAGAGATGCTTGGAGGGTTGCAAACAAAACCTCGTGTGCACCAGAATCCAGGGAAATTCTCAACAAGAGACTGAGTGAGACCTCCTTTGAGTGTCTGAATGTCTCC